CTCGTTCTGGATGGAAACACGGCTGTAATTTTCCACCAATAACGTTTTGAATCTCAGCACAGGAAAAAAAAAAAAACAATACCTGAATAATGGCTATCTTCTGGTCCAGTCGTCCAAGTTCATCAGCAGCCCTCTTCAAACAATCGTTAAGCTCACACATGGCCTTTTGCATGTTAATTCGCTCCTGGACATTCTCATTGAGCTGGCCACTTATGTCGTCTAGCCACGACGTGCCAGCAGGACCACAAACAGAGTTCATACTGGAAGAGGAGACTGCTTGCCCAGCCAGCTGACCCTTCAGCATGCTTACTTCCTCCTGGATAGCAAAAGCATGAGACCGTGACCCACATTCACAAACGTAACAGTACATATAAGGACGTACCTGAAGCTTCTCAATCATCTTCAGGTAGTCGGCTGACTGAGAGTCCACAGTTCGCACATTGGTCTGTAATTGTTACAAGTTAGCCAACTTGAGCGTGGAACGAAAGGGCAGCACATGCCAGACTTACCCTGAGACGTGTCTTGATCTCTTTCGCACGGTCAGCATATTTCAGAGTGTTGATGATGTGATGATATTGATCAGCAGCAGGACATATTGTAGCCACCATTGTAGTCCGTGAATTGCCACTAAGGCCATCTTTCAACAATCTTGTCAGCTTGCTGCACAGAACCACATAAATTTGTTCAGATTTGAGCCAAATGCCTGCATGTCTCAATCCCGAAAGTACCTGTTTCTGTAAGGAACGTATCCGACCCCTCGCTTCTGTTGCTGGCAGAGTGCGTTGATGCAGTTGGAAAGTGCAAGAAGAGACTTGTTAATGTTCGCACCATCCCTTAATTGTTGTCCCATGTTGTTAGTCTCTGAAGCTCGTTCACTGTAACGTGTGTCAATACTCGTGCGCAAGATGACATGGAATGGAAGAGCCCGATCCATACCTTCCAGCCAAATCCACCAAGCACAGCTTCGCTCCCATAACGCGTTCGGCTGAGTGCGACGAGACCACTCTCTTAACATCAATTTGTAGGACAGCATGGGACCTGAACGACCCAAACTCGTGTTAATTGGGCACAAGCTATGTGCGGCTTGACAATTTGAGATCAGTACCTTGATGATGTCAGGTTGGCATCCGTACTCTCAGTTTTGCGCCGAAGATTCCCCTGTCTCAACAAGTCCAATATCTTTCCTGCCGATTGAACCTGCAAAACTTGTGATTACAAGAAGCTTGAGGCCTAAACGTGCGTGCTGTCATTACCTTAACACGCTTTAAACCAGCAACAGAAACTCCTTGGCCAGGATCTTCTCTCAACTCCAAGCTTCCAGATGATTCCACCAAGAGGTCATATATGATCTGCCAAAAGAATCCAATGTTGTGACGGATTGTGGCTTGCAGATGCGACTGTAATGACCAGTCAGCTGACCTCATTGTAAATTTCAAGGTATGAGCACGAAATGTCAACGCTCTCGTCTGTGCTAACTTGCATGCCATTCACAAAATTGAAGATGTCATTGAAACCAAGCACCATGAGTCCCGGATCTTCGTCATTGCCAACCATCGACCATGTCTTTCCGCTGCAGCATACTAGCGTTAGCATTTTCAAGGAGCTGGGCGAAAGACAGAAGTCGTTAGTTTTCTCACCTTCCAGTTGCACCATAGGCGAAGACCTGTCATCAGACGTACGTGTTAGCACTTGGCGAATTGCCATGCGAATAGACTTTCAAAACTTACGGTCGCATTCAGACCCTCTGTAAGGCCCTTGATCAGTGGCTGAACCGTGTAAGCGTAGATTTCCTGCACAGGGGAGTCATGCGTTATCGCTTTTCCGAAGTCCTTACGATGGAACTTTTGGCGAATTCGGAACCCACCAGATTGGACGAAACGCCGTCAAAAGCCCTGTCAAACGAGAAGTGCTTCTCTTTGGTTCTGTGTTGAATCTTATCGAGATATTGCTTGTCCAAGTCCGGATCCAACACAATGACTGTCTGTAAGTGATTAGCAGGTCAATAGAATGCAGTAAGGAAACTTTGACAGCGTGGGTGCGCAAGCATCACCTTGTCATCCAGTACACGAACAATGTCGTGCCTGCTCCTGCCAATATCCCTATTGTTCAATGGCCGCACCCTCACTACGACCTGAATTTACCGTCAGAAGAACGAGAGTTAGACAAGTACACTGCACGGCGTTTCAGAACCACATGAGAGACTGTTAAACATCAGCAGCTGACCTGTAATGACCTCTGCTTTGAGGCTGTGAGTACAGGTTTCATCGTGTCAATTGATTCTATCCCAGAACCTCACTGACGTAGCATGAGTGTTCTGTCTGTGCTTGGAGAGTGTGGACTGTGTTGTAATACCTGCCATAGATTGGCAGTCCATTTCTTGGCTGGAGGTGCCTCGACGGGGGCAGCCAAGGGGCTGAGCAGCTGGAACTGGACGACGAAAATGCGAGTACAGTTGTGATTGTTGCTAAAACATCTACTTATGAAACAGTACACTGATTAAAAGCTTGTGCACTATACAAAACAATGCAATGGTCATATGATTCTTTACAAATTAACAAATGGAAACGCTGATATTGAAGGACATTTGAGTCTTTCACACCAACAAATGGAGATGCGAAGGCCTAGAGAAACAAGCTTAGACACAACAGAACCTTGCCAACTAGGCCACCAAAACACCCTCTGCACGTATAGGCCCCACTGTCCCAGGACCATCTCCCTGAAAGTCCTCCTGCACGCAGAAGCAACAGAGTGTTTATAAAGAAAAACCACTTTTGACCACCTCGAACTTTAACTCTCAAGAAGACTCACGGGGTTATAGATGACTGTGATGTAGAGAGAGCAGCTTGGACATCTTGCAATCTCCTCTCCGTTCTTCAGCTCCTCCTGCCAATGAAGAATAAAAGAACCGCAGTGTCGATTGTCGTATGGAGAATGAAAGGGTGCGCAAGAGATGGTGATGGGGTACGAGTAGTACTGATAAAAGAGAAATAAGGGGAAAGAAATGGAAGCACCGCTCTGAGGAAGGGGCAGCACAAATGCTCACGAGGGAAATCTGGAAGAGGTCGCCACAAGGACAGGAATAGGTGAACGCCCCCAAATCCTCGTTCCATTGCATATCCTCAATCTCCACCTCGTCGTACGACATGGCGAACGCAGACAGTAGCACAGCAAGGTCGCAGCGAATAGCACTCGACAAGGCTCACAACAACGGAAGTACGACACGATCAGAGGGGTCCGGAGGGGCGAATGCTGATAAGGGGGGCTAGCGCTGCTTCGGACACGCAAAAGAGGATTGGGATGAAACAGACGACCAGGGAAGGAGCGCAACCCTGGAGCGTCGACGAAAGGCACGTCAGCGTGCGCTCAATAAGAGCCCCTCAGACGACTCTCTCCAAAGAGGGGCTTGCGCCTTGGCTGCTCGTAGCGACTTAACGATAAAGTCGGGCACCTATACAGGATCGCACACTGGGAAAGATAGATTTCGGGACGGAAATGCCGCAATATAGAGGGCGCTTCGTGGTTGCGTGAAACGGGGTTGTTGCGGGAAAAATCCGAATTAGGGTTCCGCGAACGTCTGGTTCTCAAACCATCGACTTCTGTACTGAACTGCAGCTTGTTCATGCATGTCGCCTACGACCAACAACGAGGACCTCGTTATAGAAGGAATGCGCCATGAGCAATTGGTTTTGTTAAAGAAGATACAGTTCCAACATTTACATGGCAAACAGACGAAAATATTCTGATCCAGCCAGAAAGTAGCATTCCTGCCAGACCAAGTCATTTCTGCCAGAAGCCACAGCATACACGTAAGTTGCTCTCTACGACTTGCCTAAACGTGGCGCGCATGCCGAGCGTCACTTCAAGCTCACCGCAGCTGCGAACCCTAGCCTATCTCGTTGGCGCTCGCCGATCAGATGGCGCTTCGTACAGAGAAGCCTTTGCGCGAACAGCCGCCTCCTCGCCACTCGCGGAACTTATTTTGGTTCGCGCTGGGATTCTCAGTCGCTACACATGACCAGCCTGACCGATACCACGCGAATCTTCCCCACTGGTTTCTAGAGCCGGTCATCTTTCTCCAGCAGTCTTGTCATTTCCTGCAGAGAGCAAAGAGCTAGATAGCCATGTCTCTACCGACTGGAGCTCGTCTCGCGTACGTGATTCTGTATGTGGAGGACATCGACGCAGCGGTGAAGTTCTACAAGGACGTGTTCATGTTCGACGTGAGGCGCGTGGACAACAGCAGAAGGTAATCAGAGAGTCTATTACGATCTCTGTCCACCCAAATATTCTGTGCGCTGCTAAATGTGCTTCATCAGGAATTATTTTTATATCTTTGCGTCCATCACGCTCTAAGATGCTCCTGTTATTCGACAGATGGGCCGAATTGGAGACCGGATCAACGACGCTGGCGTTTACCCCGCTGGAGCAAAGGGAGACGAAGATCACAGGCGGCGTGCATGTGCCTGATGAGAGGGAGCAGCGGCAGAACGTGGAAATCAGCATCAGCGTGTTTGATGTCAGAGACACGTACGAGGTACGGTCATGGCTAGATATCACTGTTCGCCTTGGCTTTGATCCATTGTTTCCCCACATATCTTTTTTACTTGTGGGCTGTTTGACCTATTTCCTTGCAATCCGTCTTCTGCAGAGAGCCCTAAAGGCAGGAGCAAAGGAGGTTGCTAAACCAGAGCAGAAGGAATGGGGCCAGACTGTGGGGTACCTTCGTGATCCCTTTGGCATCACTGTCCGCCTTGGCTCACACTTATCCTCCTCCTGATCCGTGGATTCAGCCTGTTACGGTATTCTAGGAGGGAATTGTTGTGATCACTTGGGACAGGTCCAGGAGGGGAAGTTGGGTGATTACTGGGTGATTCGTGAGTGACATGCTGAAGATGCTTTCTTGTAGGGAATGTGCATCTGCTTACAATGCATCTGGTCTGGGGATGTCAGCCAGGTGCTGTTAGCCAGCCACAGCGGAAGGAGAATGAAAGAAGTTACCTCTTGGTTATTACTCACAGTCACAGTACAATTATTTATGTTTCAAATGAGCAAGACAGAATTGAATGCGATGAAGAACGAACAATTCCACCCACCGACACTTCAAACCATGAGAAAGGACGCAACCAGCCAATATCTGTTCTGTTCATGTCAACCCCTGTACACAAAACGAGTCAGCAAACTTCCACCCAGAGCAATGTTTCTCACTCCAATATGCTAGAACGAGTGGTGACCATACTCACATCACTCCTTGTGCGCAAAGTGAGGCATCCAGCAGAGCAATGCCAATCCCCGACCCATTACTAGACAGTATGCTCACAGAAACCCCCACCTCCTCCCCTCAAATCCCCAATCCCCGACCCATCCCTCGTGCATCACTCCTTATAGGTATACTGAATGTGAGGCAGCAAGCAGAGCAGAGCTGGTACCCGACCGTCTTTGGACAGCTTCACGCTCACAAACCCCGCCACCTCCTTCCTCCCCCAACAGCTCCTTGAGCGTCTCGTGAATGGCCTCACATGCTCGAACCGTGTATGTGCTATGATTACTCCTTGTATGCCGAGTGTGAGGCAGCCAGCAGAGCAGCGCCAATCCCCGACCCATCCTTGGACAGCTTCATGCTCACAAACCCCGCCACCTCCTCCCCCAGCAGCTCCTTGAGCGTCTCGTGAATGGCCTCCCGGAATGGAGTGTAGTGCTCGTACATGCCGCCATCCACCGCCACCACTGTCCGCGGCACATGCCCCAGAGCAGCTTCTGCTGCTGCTTCTCCTGCCCCTGCTGCTGCTGCTGCTGCTGCTGCTGCTGCATCACCATCAACAGCTGATGCTTCTGCTTCTCCTTCAGGAGCCTTTGCCTGTGCGTTTGCCTGTGCGTTTGCCTGTGCGTTTGCCTGTGCGTTTGCCTGTGCGTTCGCCGGTGCTTTCCCGTCGCGCCCCAGCTTCTGCAGCACGCCCACGATGCCAGCAGCCACGAGGCGGGCGCCTCTCTCCCCCATGATGCGGCACACCTCCTGCACTGCCTGGCGCTGCGACAATGAGGTGTCTGGGAGCTGCATGGGGGGAGAGTGGGAAGAGTTGGAAGAAGGAGATAAATTTGAGGCGGTGCTTTTGCCTGTGCGTTTGCCTGTGCGTTCGCCAGGGCTTGCCCATCCCGGCCCAGCTTCTGCAGCACGCCCACGATGCCAGCAGCCACGAGGCGGGCGCCTCTCTCCCCCATGATGCGGCACACCTCCTGCACCGCCTGGCGCTGGCTGAGAGACGTGTCTGGGAGCTGCACGGGGGAGATGCAGCACACGTCCGGCACTGCCTGGTGCTGCGGCAGCGAGGTGCCTGGGAGCTGCTAGCCGGGAGAATGGAAAGAGGGCATGACCTTAGATAAAAGCAGCCTGAGAGAAACACTGACCCACGATGCAGCACACCTCCTGCACTGCCTGCCTGGCACAAGGAAGGATTGCGAGGTGGCTGGGAGCCGCACACAACTTGAATGGGTAGAGAGCAGTGTTCATATCGGCTTCAGGTACGACCAGACCGAAAGTGTGAAGCGACCCAGAGGAAACGTTATTGGGCGGATTGCAAAGCTCGGGAGTGGGAAATGGGAAGAGACGATTCTTGGGCAGATTGCAAAAAGGCTTGGCAGTGGAAGGTGTGACAGCATGAAAGAACAGACGAGAACTGAACCCCACGTCAGACTAAGGAAATTTTTGAGAACCGAGGCGACTCAAAAATCACCTGCATGAAAGAACAGATGAGAACTGAACCCCAAGTCAGAGTAAGGAAGAGCAGAAACGAGGATGCAGAAAAATGTAAGAGCATATATGGCTCGGATAACTACAAGTGCGCCGCACACACCTCAAGCTCCTCTGCAAAAACAGATCCGACTTTTGCAAGGTCTGGAGAGGTGTCTTCATGAATGATTGCCACTTTAGGGGTTCTGCACTCCACAAGACAGGAAGGAAGAAACCGGAAAGTAATTAGGCCATAATTAGCCCACAACAGACACACACCAAGAGGGCATAATTAGGCCAACCAGGCCAGTGTCAATTGTATAGAACAAAGAAAGAGGGGGATGAAGAAAATAAGGCACGGAGGAATGTTAAAAAAAAGACACTGGATTGGTTTCACAATAGAATGAATAATTGCCACTGTAACTAACCAGGATAACCTCGCCATTGCTGTAACCAGGATAATTTATTACTGGAGAGAGTTGGGTTGGGGCAGCTTAGGGGGGCCAGGGAAGCCAAAGCGGTGACTTTTGAGTCAACCCGAGAGAACACCACTTGGTGGTGGTTTTAGCCATACGTGGCAACGGGCTTGTAGAACGTTATTTTTGAGTCGACCCGAGAGAACACCACTTGGTGGTGGTTTTAGCCATACGTGGCAGCGGGCTTGTAGAACGTTATTTTTGAGTCGACTCAAAAAAAGCCAAAGCGGTGACTTTTGAGTCAACCCAAAAAACACCTCGATGCTGCGGTGACCAGAATGATGTCCCCCCTGCTGTAGCCAGAATGAGATCGCCCCTGCTGTGACCAGAATGAGATCGCCCCTGCTGTGACCAGGACGATGCCTTACGGGAGAGAGTTGGGTTGAAGCAGCTTAGGAGGGACAGGGTCGCCAAAGAGGTGAGACTTCTGAGAGATGTCCAGCAGCGCCAGTCGCACCACCTCGCCCACATACATGCCTGAGATCATCTTCTCGTAGCGCTGTTACACGCAACAGCAGTGGGGAGGAGCATGCATGTCAGTCAGCAATGGGGTCAATCAATAGCAGCAGGTAAGAGACAAAGGCAACACCTGCAGCAGCATTGGGGAAGCATGTGGATTAACATCGAGGCAAAGCTTTAGCGCCAGATAAGAGATAGATGCGACACATGTATCGGGGGGGGGGGGGGGGAATATTTACCACAAAATGGTAACTACAAGATGAATGGGCTGTTTTTATTCGAGACTGCAAGTGAAGTTATACACGGATATGAACTGCACTATGGGGCGTATATAACCTCACCTGCTGACCGCAGTTGGCACTCTTGGAGTCCAGAAGGTCGTCATATTCGGTAATGGGCAGATGGCCCGACCAGAAGTTGCCCCACTCCATGTTGATCACCTGTGTGACAGCGGCAGGGAGGGGAATAGAGAGGGGTGGGGTGGGGTGGGGTGGGGTGGGGGTTGTTGTGTGTCAGAGCAAGTAGTTCCCGCATGTTGATCACCTGATATCAAGGGCGGGGAGGGGTGGGGGGAGGGGGAAGGAAGTGCGTTTGTGTGTCAGAGCAAGTAGTTTCGGCACACTATGTTGCTGGCTGGACCACAAGTTCCCCCACTACAATTGTAATGAGTCGATTCTTGAGTCGACTAAAAAATCGACTCATTACACGCTGGCCGGACCACAAGTTCTCCCACTCCATATGTTGATCACCTCATGTGAAGGGGTTCGGGGGAGGGGAGGGGGGCGCGTGTATTAATAGGGGGAGTGTGTGTGAGTACGTACTTTGGTGTCAGGGACCTCCTCACAGCACGCATTGGAGCCAGTGAGGAGTCTATTTTTTAGGCGCCTCAAAAAAGGGGGCGGATATATTAATAGGGGGAGTGTGTGTGAGTATGTACTTTGGTGTCAGGGACCTCCTCACAGCACGCATTGGAGCCAGTGCCGAGAATACCAGCGGTCAGTCAACTCACAAGACACGCGATTAGAAGTTGCAGTGTGTGTAACAAGGGGTGTAACAACATGCAACGACATGTGGCGTTACCATGCGGCCCGAGGCTGGTGGGGGGCCGGTCTGCCTGACGCTGGTGTCATGGATCTCCTCGTAGCACGCGTTGGAGCCGGTGCCCAGAATCACGCCCAGCATCACATCGGACTCCACAAACCGAGCTCCCGCCAGCGTGCCAACCGCATCGTTCACCTGCCACAGACAGGAATGCATGTTACCAGATGTGAGGAGTCTATTTTTGAGGCGCCTCAAAACCATGCGTGAGGAGTCTATTTTTGAGGCGCCTCAAAAATAGACAGCTCCCGCCAGCGTGCCAACCGCATCGTTCACCTGCCATAGACAGGAATGCATGTTACCAGATATGGAATACCAATGCGCCTACCCGTCGGAGGTCTTCTAATAGGGTGGACTGAAACGAGATCGCGGTGAACCGGGAAGACGAGGAAATGTCGGAACAGCCACCTTATGCAGTAATTATAAAGCCAAGATTAGGAATCGTAATCTCACCAGTGCAGTGACTTTCATGTCAAGCTTCTGGCGTTCAAGAGCCTCCTCTAGTACCTGGACCACGTCCCTTCCCTCCTGCATGGTCAACAGCAAGCATGTGAATTGAATAACACGAAGTTCAGAACATGCTTACTTTTTTAGGCGCCTCAAAAATAGACTCCTCATGCTTACTTTTGACACTCACAAGCCAGACAGATATGAATGATATTCATGGTGATTAAAGGAGCATCAAATACTTGGAATCGACAGAACCATCACGATTCTAAAACGCCGAGCACCGAATCTGTGCGTTGCAACAGTTAGCCTTTAGTTAACGACACGTGTGAGATGCACCTCGTGCCGTACTCACAGTCTCAGGAATGTTGAAGCCCTTGGTCCACATGATCAGCCTCCCCCAACCTGTGCTCAACTTCCGCTGCTGCACTCAACCCAACCCAACCCAGCCCAACCCAACCTGTGCTCTGAACTCTCGCTGCCGCACTCACAGTCTCAGGAATGTTGAAGCCCTTGGTCCACGTGATCAGCCGCCCCCAACCTGTGCTCAACTCCCGCTGCTGCACTCAACCCAACCCAGCCCAGCCCAACCCAACCTGTGCTCTGAACTCTCGCTGCCGCACTCACAGTCTCAGGAATGTTGAAGCCCTTGGTCCACATGATCAGCCTCCCCCAACCTGTGCTCAACTCCCGCTGCTGCACTCAACCCAACCCAGCCCAGCCCAACCCAACCTGTGCTCTGAACTCTCGCTGCTGCACTCACAGTCTCAGGAATGTTGAAGCCCTTGGTCCACATGATCAGCCTCCCCCAACCTGTGCTCAACTCCCGCTGCTGCACTCAACCCAACCCAACCCAGCCCAACCCAACCTGTGCTCTGAACTCTCGCTGCCGCACTCACAGCCTCAGGAATGTTGAAGCCCTTGGTCCACATGATCAGCCTCCCCCAACCTGTGCTCAACTCCCGCTGCTGCACTCAACCCAACCCAACCCAGCCCAACCCAACCTGTGCTCTGAACTCTCGCTGCCGCACTCACAGTCTCAGGAATGTTGAAGCCCTTGGTCCACATGATCAGCCTCCCCCAACCTGTGCTCAACTCCCGCTGCTGCACTCAACCCAACCCAACCCAGCCCAACCCAACCTGTGCTCTGAACTCTCGCTGCCGCACTCACAGTCTCAGGAATGTTGAAGCCCTTGGTCCACATGATCAGCCTCCCCCAACCTGTGCTCAACTCCCGCTGCTGCACTCAACCCAACCCAACCCAGCCCAACCCAACCTGTGCTCTGAACTCTCGCTGCCGCACTCACAGTTTCAGGAATGTTGAAGCCCTTGGTCCACATGATCAGCCTCCCCCAACCTGTGCTCAACTCCCGCTGCTGCACTCAACCCAACCCAACCCAGCCCAACCCAACCTGTGCTCTGAACTCTCGCTGCCGCACTCACAGTCTCAGGAATGTTGAAGCCCTTGGTCCACATGATCAGCCTCCCCCAACCTGTGCTCAACTCCCGCTGCTGCACTCAACCCAACCCAACCCAGCCCAACCCAACCTGTGCTCTGAACTCTCGCTGCCGCACTCACAGTCTCAGGAATGTTGAAGCCCTTGGTCCACATGATCAGCCTCCCCGCGTTGATGGCAGTGTGGTCGCAGGGGAAGGAGAAGGTGAACCCCAGCTCCCTATGCTTGCCCTCCTCTGGCTTGAACTCCTCCTCCTCCTTCGCCACAAACGCCGCCAGCCTAGACGCAATGTAGTCAAACAACGCCTGGCATGGGCAGACAATTGCAAGTGCAGGGAAGTGGAGGGGTATCATCAGGTGCTTGCCCCCCGCTGGCTTGAACTCCTTGCGTGAGGAGTCTATTTTTGAGGCGCCTCAAAAATAGACTCCTCACGTGGGGAAGTGGAGGGGTAACATCAGGTGCCTGCCCCCCCCTGGCTTGAACTCCTCCTCCTCCTCCTCCTCCTCCTTCTCCTCCTCCTTGGCAACGAACGCCGCCAGCCTCGACGCAATGTAGTCAAACAGAGCCTGCCGCCCGCACCCACAGAGCAGCAAGTAGTTTCACATAGCAACAAAAGTGGAAAGGTGAAGTGAATCAGCAGGTGCTTTCCCTCCGCTGGCTTGAACTCCTCCTCTTCCTTCGCCACAAACGCCGCCAGCCTTGAAGTTATGTAGTCAAACAGCGCCTGGCATGGGCACAAAACAGCACACAGCTCCACATAGCATCAGCAGATGTAGGGGCAGGTGCTGAGGAATCTGCCCGCTGAGGAATCTATTTTTGAGGCGCCTCAAACATAGCAGCAGATGTAGAGCCAGGTGCCTGCCCTCCGCTGGCTTGGCCTCCTCTTCCTCCTTGACCACAAACGCCGCCAGCCCTGATGCGATGTAGTCAAACAGCGCCTGTTATGGCGCCAAGGAGCAAAATTTCCGCGACATAGCACTTGCGTTGCGGGGAGGTGAGATGGCTTCAATTCAACTACTCCTCTTCCTTGGCCACAAAAGCCGCCAGCCCTGACGCAATGTTGTCAAAGAGAGCCTGTTATTGCTGCAAAATAGCAGGTGTGAAGCAGTGAGATGTGAGATGAGATGCTTGGGAGGTGCCTTGCCCTCGGGGGGGTTCCTCCTCCTTCGCCACAAAGGGCGCCCGCCTAGATGCAATGTAGGCATCAAACAGAGCCTGCCGCACCCACGGAACAGCAAGGCATTCCGTGTAGCAGATGCGGGGAATTGAGTCGACTGAAAAGGTGACTTCGAGTCGACTCAAAAGGCATTCCGTGTAGCAGATGCAAGGAATTGAGATACATGTTGAGTCGACTCAAAATGCACCTGGAGTAGCAGATGCGAGGAATTGAGATAAGAACCAAGTGCTTGGAGAGTGCTTGAACTCCTCCTCCTCCTAGTGACAGTAACTTGGTTTTGGGACGTCTCAAAACGAAATTACTATCAAACCCAAACTCTTCCTCCTCCTCCTTGTGACAGTAATTTGGTTTTGAGACGTCTCAAAATTTGGCGTCAAAGGTTACCAGCCTAGATGCAATGCAGTCAAACAGCGCCTGCCGCACTCATAAAACAATAACGCACATCCCACACACCCGATGTGAAAATTGTGTCGAGGCATGTGGATTCACAGGGAGCTGGACAAAAGCAGAGCGTCACTGCGCAAATTACAACAGCTCACCTGCGTCACTCACTGCTGCCCGTCATGAGCTCATTGCCCGTAGATGGCCCCTCAAACGATTGAGGTTTGAATCGACTCAGAAGCCCGTCACGAGGTCATTCCCGATGGACGTTTGCTCCGAGTCCACCTTCCCGACGCCCCCATCCTTCCCCCGCAGCGGCACACGGAGCACGCGGATTTGTCTTCTGAGTCGACTCAGAAGCCCCCCAGAATCCCGACAGAGGCCCGTCCGAAGCCTGTAGCCCGTAAGATCTCACCTCCGTGGTGCCGGTCATGAGGTCATTCCCGATGGACGCTTCGTCCGAGTCCACCTTGCCGATGCCCCCGTCCTTCCCCAGCAGCGGCACACGGAGCACGCGGAAGTTGGTCCCGCCGAGGTCAAGTGCGTAGAACACGCCTTTCTCCGAGCTGCACAGAGGAGATTCACTTAGCTTGAGAAATAAAAAAGCCGCACACTGCTACCTGAAATCCTGTGCAGAGCAACAGGAATCAGGCCGTTCACAGAGAAGTTTCGAGCCATCTCACAACTGTGCAGACGCCAATAAATTGAGTCGACATTCACCAAAAAACGAGGTGACTAATTGAGTCGCGACTCAATAGCCACCTGTGCACAGCCAAGTGGATTCAGTTCAGGCCGTTCACGGGTGACTTTTGAGTCGACTCAAAAGTCACCTGTGAATTCACCTCAGTTTAGGCCATTCACGGGGAAAAAAAGCATCGCACTGTGAATCTCAAAGAAGAGGTGACTTTTGAGTCGACTCAAAAGTCACTTCCGTGTTCTTTTCCAGTAACGCGACTAGCTAACACAAGATAATCGCGACGACAACTGATGGCAAGTCTTTGAACTAACTATGACAGCTGCTCAACGAAACATGGATCCCCGCTGGGGTTCTCTTCCACTAATCCGGTTCTTTGGCAGCGACGCGACTAGCTAACACAAGATAATCGAGCCGACAACTCCGACAACTCAGAGCTCATACAACCACACGACTAAAACCGAACCTCATTAATGCACGAATCAGCGAAAGACACGTACCCGTCCGGCAGTTTGTCGACATACGAAGGCAGCATCTTGAGCGTGCTATCCCGGGTGCTCCTTAGTCCAGACACCATCTCAGCTCGCATGTCCGCTGCGATCTGCAGCAGCTGCTCCTTACTCGAGCTGCAATTAACCCTCAACGTATCACAGGAATACGTACCCGTCAGGGAGGCGATCGACATACGAAGGCAGCATCTTGAGCGTGCTCCCCTGCGTGCTCCTTAATCCAGACACCATCTCAGCTCGCATGTCAGCTGCGATCTGCAGCAGCTTCTCTCCGCTCGTGCTGCACTCCTCCCTCAGCCGATCGATCAGCTCTTTCGCGGAAACGACCACTTTCGACGAAGCATCGCCGCCGGTTTTTTTCTTCTGGCAGCAGTAGTAGCGGCGAACGAGGTACACCCCCGCAGCCGTGCCGGCCGCAGCGGCGACGATAAGCAGCAGATTCGTGTACCTTCCCATGTTTCGCAGCAGTGCTTCGCAGCAGTGTTTAGCCACCTGCGTATTTAGCAGCAGTATTTAGCCCCCTGTGTATTTAGCAGCAGTCACGACTGGACAAAGCACGAATCTGCAACTCTTGATTTGAATTCCAAGCTATCACCAGCACGCTGCGCTCCTAGTAGATTTGAGAAAGAGAACAGCAGGAACCGGGAAGTCGCGAGATCAGTAACGGAGAAGCACGGAGAGGGGACGACACGAAGCAACCAGATAACGTCAATGGTGGAGAGAGCTAAGAACAGCCATGGCGGATTTGAATTCGCAAGGTGCAACAGAAGAATGAGAAATGAGGAAGGAATCTCGAGGTGACGGAAGGAAAATGGAAGGTTGATACTATAGCGGAGTGGAAAGCCGGAATGCGACGGTGCGAGTGTTCCATTAGCGAGGCCAAGAGACGGACCTGCCTGACCTGGCCGAAGCACTTTCTTGGGAATTGCGCGTCTCGCATTGGTCCGAAAAATGTGAGGGCTGCGCTGGCACATTCGAGAATGGAGTGAATGGAGTCGTGCACACGTGGCAGTGCCCTTGAGAATCTCCCGGTGTACCTCACGACGGTGCACTCCATTAACGTATAGCGAGACGGCTCTGTTCGATGGACAGAAAACAACGCTATGAACCAGGACCACATTTACAAGCATACATTAGCACATTCATAGCTTACAACAGCCAACAATGATCATGCTCCCATTTCTTGAAGCTTCTCCATGTTTTTTTGTCCCTCTTTAACATCATCCTCCTGCCTCTTCTCTTCCTGATCCTTATTACGTATTCCCCCCACCGCCGCAGCTTTGGCAGCAGCCATTCGTTTGCTCTCGGCCGTAGTGGGCCGAGCAGGGTCCCGCAGACTCGTCCAGTGCAGGTACAACTGCTCAACGGATAATTAGGGGAGGATAAGATGGTGAGTACATTGGGGCATTTGAGGATCATGCTCCGATATGAAACGTTCAGAGAATGAAGCTTCTAACGCCAGGTTGAACAAATGGCACATCGAAAATGTAACATGGCATATGGCACATCGAAAATGTAGCATGGCACATGGAACATGGTGCATGCGGCACATGGAACATGGCGCATGCGGCACATGTCACATGGCAACACACGTGACACCACACATTCAACCAAATCTGGTAGTGTCACACAAAACAGCGACTGCTTTGCAAATGACAACCGACCAGGTACCAGATTCCGTCACAGGGAGCCAGCTCACCTAGCACAGGCACAACAGCCCCCAACTAACAGCAGCACAGACAGTAACCTCACCTGCTTGTAATCCAGGGACGCCCCTTCCAACAGCAGTCCGACTTGATGCACAGGGGGGCGGAGCGAGGGGGTGTGGCGCAGACACAACCACCCAATCAGCAGACCCCAACTACCAGCAGCACAGGGAGGGAGCAATCTCACCAGCTTGTAATCCAGGGAGGCCCCTTCCAGCAGCAAAGTGACTTGGTGCATGGAGGGGCGGAGGGAGGGAGTGTGGCGCAGACAGAAAAACAACCCCCCACCAACACACCCCAACTACCAGAAGCAACACAGACAGTAATCTCACCTGCTTGTAATCCAGGGAGGCCCCTTCCAGCAGCAAAGTGACTTGGTGCGTGGAGGGGCGGAGGGAGGGGGTGTGGCGCAGACAGAGCATGGCAGCAGCAGCCATGCGGTGCAGAGAGGAGGCATCCACAGATCCCTCTAGACGCGGGTCTACTAGCATGTGCAGGCGACCAGAGTCCAGGAGGGGGAGGGCCTGGGATGGGGGGCGGGTGGGGGGGAGGGAGGTATGTGAGGCATTTGAGTGGACTCGTGAGAGCAGCAGCAGCCGCAGCAGCCATGAGAGAGGGGGAGTCCACGGATTTCTCTAGACGGGGGTGCAGCAGGCGACCAGATTCCAGGAGGGGGATGGCCTGAGGGGTGGGGGGGGTGCATACGGGAGGGTGTTTTTGAGAATTCTCAAAAACACCCTGCAAAATACGGGAGGGCGGTGGCGATGAACACCGAGTCGACTCTGGAGCAGGGCAGCAGCAGCCATGCAGTGCAGAGAGGGGGAGTCCACGGATCCCTCGAGAGGGGGGTCTACTAGCATGTGCAGGCGACCAGAGTCCAGCAGAGGGACGGCCTGAGAGAAGCGAGAGGGGGGTGTGTGTGGGGGTGGGGTTGGGAAGGAGAGAGGAAATGACACTTGAGCTGACTCGTGAGCAGAGCAGCAGCAGAAACAATCTCATGCGGGGGCGAGTGAGAGTGTCCAGAAATCCCTCCATGTGTGGGTCTACTAGACAGTGCATGCAGGCGACCAGAGTCCAGCAGAGCGACGGCCTGAAAAGGGAGAGGAAGGGGAGAGAGGGGTCTATTTTTGAGGCGCCTAAAAAATATGGGTGATGATTGAGTCGACTCTGAAGCATGGCGGCAGCAGCCATGCTGTGCAGAGAGGGCGGAACCACACTCATGTACCCCTCCCAACCCCGTACTCACCCACTGCATCCCTCCCCACCCCACAGTCTCTCACTCACTGCATCCCTCACCCTTATGGCACTCACTCCATGGAACCTTCCCTCTCACACGCACCCACCCCCCTTCCCCCTCCCCAACACTCACCCACTGCACCGGGTCGAGCAACACTCGGCCACTCACCCACTGCAACCCCCAGCCCCCCATTCTCACACACCCACCCACTCCCCGAACCCACCCCCCCCCCCACCCACTCACCCACCCACTGCAACCCCCCTCTTCCCCTCCCAACACTCACCCACGGCGACCCCATCCCCCCCGCTTCCACCTTCCCCTCCCCCAACCCCACCCCCCCCCCGCTTCCACCTTCCCCCCCCCCCACTCACCCACTGCACCAGATCCAGCTCGTCCTTGCTCCGCCTGGGGTCCACGGGCTTGCACCAGTGCACTAGAGACGAGAGCAACCCTCACCCACTCGCCCACAGCAACCCCCCTGGCCCCCACTCACGCACACCCACACACTTACTACTCACTCTCACCCACGGCAACCTCCTCTTCCCTCCCAACACTCAACCACTGCACCCCCCCCACCCCTCCCCCCCCCCACTCACCCACTGCACCAGATCAAGCTCCTCCTTGCTCCGCCTGGGGTCCACGGGCCTGCGACTCGTTATAAGCTCCAACAGCAGCACTCCAAACGCGTATGTGTCGGTGTGGGTGGAAAGCCGGCCCCTTAGGAAGTACTCTGGAGCCATGTACCCCACCGTACCCTCTATAGGCGACTTAATGGAGCCATCAATAGCGGGTTTATTAGAAGAGCCATTTGTAGAGGATGTCGAGGAGGCTTGTAAAGAGGATGTAGAGGTGGGTGGGGGAGGCGAGGGTATCCAGCGAGCGAGGCCGAAATCAGCAACCAGCGGTTGCCAATCGGTGCCCACTAGAATGTTGCCTGTCTTGATGTCCCGATGCACTATGCGCCCCTCTCCCTCTCCTCCTCCTCCTGCTGCTGCTGCTACGGCTCCTTCCCCTCCCCCTCCTCCCCCTCCTCCCCCTCCTCCCCCTCCTCCCCCTCCTCCCCCTCCTCCCCCTCCTCCCCCTCCTCCCCCTCCTCCCCCTCCTTCTCCTCCTGCTCCCTTGGCTGCGCCCTCATCTGCTGCCACATTTGCACTGCTCCCATCTACACTGCTCCTACACCCACTATGAAGATACGCCAGCCCTCTCGCCGCCCCGATCGCAGCTTGCACGCGCCGCTCCCACGGCATCACATCCCTTGTCTTGGAGTGCAAGTTGCGCTCCACGCTGCCATTCCCCGCCAGCTCATACACCATGATGTGCTCGCCGCCCTCCATGCAGTATCCTAGAAGCTTCACTATGTTCGGGTGCACGCCCGCTCGCTCCACTATTCGCACCTCGGTAAGAAACCGCTCGTTCTCCTCTGCTTCTCGCTCCTTTCTACGCTCCTCATCCTCGCTCTCCTCCTCCTCTTTTCCGGCTCCTTTCCCCTCATCTCTCCCCTCCTCGCCATTTCCTCCTACCTTTCCTCCAACGTCCGCCTCTTTTCCATCGTTCTCTCCCTTCTTCTGCTTCTCCGCCTCCTCCTTACCCTTCTTCCCATCCTTGTCCCTACTCCGCCCTTTCTTATACACTCTCTTAACCGCCACCCTCACCACCTTACTACCCCCAGATCCCCTCAACCCCACGCCGCTGCCGCCCGTGCTCCCCCCTGCAGCAAGCTTGAGCTTCCCCTTATACACGTGCGCGTAACCCCCCTTGCCTATCATGTTTTCCCGGGCGAAATTGCCCGTGGCTGCAACGAGCTCTTTAAGGGAGAAGACGCGGGAGGGAGGGGCGTGCGAGGGAAGGGGCGGAACGGGGTGGGGAGAGGGCGAGGAGGAGGGGAGGGGTTGGCCTGTACCTGCAGCATTTGACTGCTGCCCTGCTTGCTTCTGCGACTGCTGCTCTGCCTGATGCTTGGGAAACACGTGATTGAGAAGGGCATCTGGCAGTATTGGCTGCTTGGATGCTGCAGCAGAAGCAGAAGCAGAAGCAGAGGCAGCAGAGGCAGCAGGGGCACAGGAAGGGATTGGAACATCAAACCGAGAAGCCAGATCGTATGAAGATCCAGAGACTGCAGGAACAGGGGGCCTGAGAGAACCCAATCCACCAGGAGCAGCAGCGGCAGCAGCAGCAGCAGCTCCAGTGGCAGACTGAGCAGACTCTAAGGGTTTGCATGCAGCAGCAGGGTTCACAGCAGGGGAAGCGACAGAGGAAGTAGCTACTGGGGTAACTCCTTTTGGATGGTTTCGCCTGGGCTTGCGAGTGCCTGATGCCTGCTTCGGCAGCTGCGCAGCAGCAGCCTGCGAGCCAGCAGCTAGAGAGACGGTGGCAGCAGCAGCAACAGTAGCAGCAGCAGTGGGAACAGCCTTGTTATCACCACTTGCAGCACCATCAGCACTGCGGACAGCGGCAGCAGAGGCAGTAGCAGCGGCAGCAGTGGCAGTGGCGGCGGCGGCGGCGGCACCAGCAGCTGCAGCAGCAGAAGGTAGATGGCGGGGAGAGGTGAGGTCATTTTGACCCTGGTGAGTAGCATGCGTGGTGTGAGGAAGTGAGGACTGTGCAGATGAGACCGAGGCTTGAGTGGCTGAGCGCGCTGCATCCCCCTGCTCTCCATGCTCTACAATTGAGTGCGGGGCAAGGGGCGCTGGGAGGTGCTTGGGCCACGGCCGGCGGTTCAAAAGAGGGTTGTTGTGAGTGGGGCGATGAAGGGCATCCATTGGGGGGCATTTCGCCCCATGAGGAACGTCTAGGGGCTGCAACGGTGCACCTGGCAGGTCCCCAGAAACACAGGCATGGAGAGGGGCGTTTGCCTTGGCGTTCGTGCCTGCACCCGTGCCTGCGTCCGTGCCTGCACCCGTGCCTGCGTCCGTACCTGCTTCCCCATGGTTCTCTGATACTGCACCAAGAAGAGTGCCCCTCTGCTGGTGTGCACTGGACGAGATTTTGAACCAGCCTGTCAAGCCAGGGGAGCCAGTCACTGCAGCTGCAGTGGAGTCGGCAGCAGCAGTTGCAACTGGTGGTGTAGCAGCGGCAGCAGCAGCCGCAGACCCATCACCTTGGGATGAAATATGAGGATCCGAGGATGCAACTGCAGCAGCAGCAGCAGCAGCAGCAGCAGCAGCAGCAGCAGCAGCAGCAGCAGCAGCAGCAGCAGCAGCAGTGGAAGTATCATGACCAAAGCTTCTTCCCCCCAGCTTCAGCAATCCCATCACACTCCACCCACCCTTGCCCTCATCTTTCCTCCCATCCCCTCCCGCCACCTGGCATGCTCCCGCCACCTGGCCTGCAGCCACCCCACCTGCTGCTACCCGGCCAGCATCCACTACATCAGTCCCGCTTCCCCCCATCTCACCGCTCCCTGCTGCTTCCTCTCTCACACTCCCTTCTGATTGCCATTGTGGCCCAGCATCTACTCTCAACTGGTCCTGACCCTGCCCCTGCTCTTGCCCCTGCCCCTGCCTCTGGCTCTGACTATGCTCGGGACCATGCTCCTGCTCCTGCTGCTCCTGCTCCTGATTTTTGAGGCGCCTCAAAAATCGACTATGCTCGGGACCATGCTCCTGCTCCTGCTGCTCCTGCTCCTGATTTTTGAGGCGCCTCAAAAATCGACTATGCTCGGGACCATGCTCCTGCTCCTGCTGCTCCTGCTCCTGATTTTTGAGGCGCCTCAAAAATCGACTATGCTCGGGACCATGCTCCTGCTCCTGCTGCTCCTGCTCCTGCTCCTGCCCCTGCCCCTGCCCCTGCTTCCACCCTTGTCCGTGCTCAGGTTCGTTCTGCCCACCCTCCCTTAGCCCCTGGTCCAATCTCCGACTGGCCCCTCCCTGCCTATGCCTACAGCTGCTGCTGTGCTCTATGTTAATGTTTGTCACCAAGTCAGATGCGTTTTGGGAATCCTCAAAGATTTTATGCCTGTGCATGCTGCTATGCTCTATGTTAATGTTTGCCAAGTCAGAAACCACTCTCACACTCTCACTCTCCTCCATAAACCGACTCACACTCCCACTCTCGTAACACCCGCTGCTACCATTAGTTACTGCCCCACTGTTCGTAACCAGCCGGCTATTTGTAACCATCCCACTGTTGGTAACCAGCTCACCAGAAGGGTATGGCCCATTCACCCCCCCAGACCCTAGTCTGCCTCGAAAGGATGGGCGATTGGGCGGGGGCCGAGAGGGGTGGTGGTGGGGGTGGTGGGGGGGAGTGAAGGGGGGAGTGAGGGAGGAGAAGGAGGAGACTGATGAAGAACAAGAGGTGAGGCTTTCTAGTGGTCTGTACAGATATCTGCTCGTGGTGTTGGTGACTGTGGTGTTGGTGGTGCTCCTGCTGTCTACACTCCTGCCGTCTATGCTCCTCCCATCTACACTCCTCCCATCCACACTCCTCCCATCCACACTCCTGCCATCCACACTCCTGTCATCCACACTCCTGCCATCCACACTCCTGCCATCCACACTCCTCCCCCCATCTAGGCTTGCCCCTCCCCAGCTGCCACCCCCTCTGCTGTGGCTGGGCCGAGTATACTGCTGCCCCCCTGCTATCACCCCCTTACTGCTGCCACTGCCATTGCTCCTGCTGCCAATGCTCCTGCTGCCATTGCTTCTGCTGCTCATGCTGCTGCCTTGCCTCACAAGAGTATGACCTGAGGCACGTGTTTCACTGAGAGTTCTCCCCTCCAAAACCTGCTGAGTATGCGGCTGCTGCTGTCTCTGCTGCTGCTGCTGCTGCTGCTGCTGCTGCTGCTGCCATTTATCTTCAATCGTTTCACACACAACCACATGTGCTCGCCTTTTCCTTCCCCCCTCCAGCCCCCCTTGTCGTTCTTCTACCCTCCCTGGTTGCCCTACGGACGAGCTTCTTTCCACCACCACTACCTCCTCCCCTCCCCTCCCCTCCTTCCCCTCCTCTCTCCTCACCCCCCGCCTCTCCCCCCTCTCCTCCAACTCCCTCCCACCACTCCCACAGCTACTCCAACTGGATTCTCCATCCCCTTCCTCCTCACAACCCTCCTCTTCCACCACCCTTCTTTCCCCTCCCTCCTCCCCCTCTTCTTCCTCCTCTCTCTTTTCCTCTCCCTCCTCCTCCTCCTCCCCATCCTCCTCCTCCTCCTCCCCCTCGTCCTCCTCCTTCACCCCATGAAGGCTGTTTCTGTAGCTCTGAACGCTCGCCGCATCGTCAACACCACCCAAGCGCCACGCTGGCACTCCCTCTGATACCATCACTCTCTCTGGTTCAGGCCTCTTTGCTGATAATGCTGCTGCTGCTGCTGCTGCTGCTGCTGGTACGGGTACGGGCACTAATACCGACACTGGTGCGGGTTGCAACTGACAGGCTGAGGGAGGGTGGGAAAGGGTACTGGACGAGCTTGAGGAGTGAGACGAGCGAGTGTGTAAGATGGAAGGGGAGGAGGAGAGAGAGGAGGAGGGAGTGAGCTGATGGTGATGATGATGGCTATTGGCAACAATGTAACCACCCGAGAAGGCACTGCTGTATGGCATTGCTCCAGGGGGGTAGTAGACTGTGTTGGCTTTAAGCGTGTGTGCTGGCAGACCGCCCGGAGACCCTGCTGCAGCAGTCCTGGGTGTGGGTTTTTGCGAGTGGTTGCTGCTGCCTAATGCTGTAGCTGCTGTGATAAAGCCGCCAGCAGCAGCACCGCCCGTGCTGACAGCACCACTGGCAGCAGCAAAAGCTCGTGCTGTGCCACAAGGACCAGCAGTAGCATCAGTAAGAGCAGCATCGGTATCAGCAGCAGCGTCAGTGTCAGCATCAGCAGCATCAGCAGCAGTGAGGTCGGAAGAAGGAGGGTAAGCGACGGGAATAGCTGATGACGACAGAGAGGAGGAAGAAGAATGGGAGGGCGAGGGAGGAGGAGAGGGATGAGGCGAATAGACATTCCTACCAGCCATACCAGAAGCGATATCTCCAGCAATTTCAGCAGCTGCTGCTGCAGGGGGGGTTGACGCAGCAGCAGCAGCAGCAGTAGCAGCAGCAGAGGCAGGAGGGGCAGGAGGGGAGTTGGCAGAAGCAGCAGCTGAAGCAGCGGTAGGAGCAGCAGAAGAAGCAGCAGCCTGGGCAGTGGAAGAGGGAGGAGCCTCCCACGCAGAGGCACCAGCCGACCCTGCCCTGACTGCAGTTGCAGCCGCTGCTGCGGCCACAGCGATTGCGGTGCTGACAGACGTGCTCCGTGCAGCAGTGCGAGCAGCATAGGAAGCAGCAGCAGCAGCAGCAGCAGCAGCAGCAGCAGGGGTAGCCGACGCGGCAGTAGTACCATGGGAAGCAGTGATAGGTGCAGGCGAGCCATTAGTGGGTGCCGAAGCAGCAGCAGCAGCATCGGTAGACGAGCTTGTCGAAGCAGCGGCAGGCACAGCGACAATATCACCAGTAGCGCTTGCGCCACCAGCAGCAGCACCCCCACCTCCAACCCCATCCCCGCCACCAGCACCCCCACCCCCAGCACCAGCACCAACAGTGCGAGCGCGGCTGGCACTTGGCCGGAGCCTACCCCTGATAGGATCATTTGGGTAGCGGAAGTCAACGTTGCCTGACTGCAGCACCACGCGCGAAGACGAGGCGTCCACCACCAGCACCACGCACCCCATCGGGGGCCGCCTGGAGCAGTAGCTGGCCGTGTTGGTGCCTGAGTGCCTGCTTGGGGAAGCAGAGGCAGAAAGGGCGAGGAGGGGAGAAGGGGGGGATGAGGGGTCCACCAACACCGCACACCCCATGGGCGGTCACCTGGAGCAGTAGCTTGCTGTGTTGGTTCCTGAGTGCCTGTAAATGAGGAGTAGAGGGAGAAAGGAATAGCAGCAGAGGGAGGAGGGTGGGGGATGAGGGGTCCATCCACCACCAGCACAGCGTGCGGGGATGAAGGGTCCACCACCAGCACAGCGTGCGGGGATGAAGGGTCCACCACCAGCACAGCGTGCGGGGATGAAGGGTCCACCAGCAGCACAGCGTGCGGGGATGAAGGGTCCACCACCAGCACAGCGCACCCCATGGAGGATCGCATGGAGCAGTCGCTTGCAGAGTTGGTGCCTGAATGGCTGCTTGGGAGGAGGGAAAGGGAAGAGAAGAGAAGCGAAGGGAGGGGAGAGGGAAGGGGAGAGGGAGAGGGAGGGAGAGGGAGAGGGAGAGGGAGAGGGAGGGGGAGGAGGAGGGGGAGGGGGAGGGGGAGGGGGAGAGGGAGAGAAAAATCAACGTTGCCAGAATGCAGCACAACGTGTGAGGAGGAGGACGAGGGGCCCACCACCAGCACAATGCACCCCATGGGGAGTACACCTTTAATGCCAGGGACCCAAGCTTACCAACTGTATAACAGTTGGTTGGGACTAGAACTACTGATTGGCCGGCGAGCTGTAGGCACCAGTGAAATCGCCTGCGAGTGTTGCAATTCACGCACCCTCAGGTTCTAGAAACTTGGGTCCCTGGCTTTAAGTGTACACATATAAGTGTACACCTTTAAGTGTACAAATCTAAGAAGTGTACACCTTTAAGTGTACACATGTCAGTGTGCCTTCAGTTCTCTCACCTTGCCCTGCTGATCTGCACCCCATCCACCAGACTCAACCCCCCTGCTGCTGCCGCCTCCCTCCTCCTCCGCTCCTCGCTCGCGCCCTCCCCTCCCCCCGGCGCACTCTCCTTGCCCTTGCCCCTCCGCCCCTGGCCCCCCAGCAGCAGCGTGGTTGCTGAGAGAGCAGCAGCCTCTTTGAGTAGAGTGTGCGGCACTGACTTGCCTCGCACTATGCGCACTTCAACCTCCATCTGAAGGAACGGGACGGGGGGGAGGGCGAGCAGCAGGCGGAATGCAAGAAGGGGAGAGGGGGTGTAAAGGGAGAGCGATGCAGCCCTGCACTATGCGCACTTCCACCTCCAGATGATACGGAACAAGGGGGTGGAGTCGGGGGGGGGGGGGAGAGGGGAGAACAAGGTTCGATGGTATGAGGAGAGCACCAGAGTGGTTGCTGAGAGCTCCTTCAGTTGAGTATGCGGCACGGATTCACACGGCACTATCTGTGCGGATTCACACGGCACTATCTGTGCGGATTCACACGGCACTATCTGTGCGGATTCACACGGCACTATCTATGCGCACTTCAACCTCCATCTGAGCAGAAAGCGCCAGAGGGGGAGATGGACGTAAGGGACGGGGGGCGGGGGCGGGGGGGGGGAGAGGGGGAGGTTGAGGAGAGCAGCAGAGTGGAGGCAGGGAGAGCAGCAGATCCCATTAATGGCGGCTGGGGCACTGATTTCCCCTGTAGGTGATTTTTGAGTCGACAAAAAAATCACCTAAGGATTTCCACTGTAGTCTGCGCACTTCTACCTCCATTTGAAGGGAAGGGAGTGGTGGGGAGCAACAGGCGGATCGAAGTAAGGCGTAAGGGGGGTGTGTGACGAGAGCAGCAGACTCCTTCAAAAGCAGCTGGGGCAAGGACATCCCCCGCATGATGCGCACTCCCACCTCCACCTAAGCAAAACGAGTTTTGTGTGTGGGGGGGAGGAATGGGTGTTGAAGCAAGAGACGGGGGAGAGGGGGGGTAGAGGAGGGCGGCAGCAGTGGCGTGACTAGAGAGGCGATTAGCGAAAAAACTGACCCAAGGCTCACCCCAGCGGCTCTGCAGTGTCGCCTGTGCGGTTTCAGCAGGCGTGCGACCTCATGCGACATGTGCAGGTTGTAGCCGCCCCACCACGCCCGCTCCTTGCTCTTCACCTCGCGCTTATCGCCCCGGCCTGAGGAGAGGAATGAGAGGGAGAGATGGGAGGGGTCGGGGCAACTGAGGACGGTCTCATGTGACATGTGCAGGTTGTACCCGCCCCCCACCACGCCCGCTCCTTGCTCTTCACCTCGCGCCTGTCCCCCCGACCTGAAAGTAACAGAGTAAGACATTTAAGGGGAAAAAGGACAATCAAGGGTGGTCTTATGCAACGCAGCATGTGCAGGTGTCTATTTTTGAGGCGCCTCAAAAATAGACTCCTCACGCAACATGTGCAGGTGTCTATTTTTGAGGCGCCTCAAAAATAGACTCCTCACGCAGCATGTGCAGGTTATTCCCCTCCCGGCCCGGCCCCCACCGCCCCCACTCCTTGCTGTTCAGCTCGCGCCTCTCCCCCTCTCCCGACTTGCACAGCCACACGTTAAGGGAGAGGGGAGGAGGAGAAGGAGGCAACAAGGGAGAGATTTTCTGCATGACTACCTTTTTTAGGCGCCTCAAAAATACCTTCTGAGCGCTCTCGCTCGCCACCACCACCTCGCCTCGCCCCCCACGTGAAAGACATTTTGTTTTGAGACGTCTCAAAACGAATTTACTTTCACGTGACTACCTTCGGAGCGCTCTCGCTCGCCACCACTTTTGAGTCGACTCACTAAAAAGTCAATTTATGCGCGACTGCCTTCTGAGCGGCGAGCGCTCTCGCTCGTCGTCGTCGTCACCACCTCGGCCCCCACCAACCGCCGCTTTCGCTCGCCTCCACCCCTACCACCACCATCCCCCCACTCTCTGCCGGATCCCCTCCCGTTCCCTCCCGCCTTTTCTTAGGCGGCTCAACAAGAGTCACCCACCTGGACCGGACTGCACCAGAGGAGTGACAGTGGCGACGTGCACGAGCACCAGCTTCCCCCCTCGCCGCACCAAATTCTCCATCGCGAAATCCACGACCCTCTGATCGCCATCATTCGCCTCCACCCCTACCACCACCATTCCCCCCACTCTCTGCCGGATCTTCTCCCGCTCCTCCGCCGCTTTCGCCGCTTCCCTCGCGAGCCGCTCCTCGTACCGCCGCTGCTTCGCCTTGCGAAGTGTACGTACGTCCGGGTCGAGGTTCGGGTCATCGTCGGAGATGTAATCGTCGATGTAATAGTCGTACTTGTCGTTGTGTATCGGCGCGACGGAGAAGCACGACACCATGGCTCGCTGCTACAAGTGAGGCCTTTATTAACGAGTCCGAATTACATCAGCAATGCTTGATGGAGATGATCAATCTCGATATAACAATAATCGTACTTGTCGTTGTGAATTGGCTCGACGGAAAAGCACGACACCATGGCTCGGTGTTACCCCTACTGGACTCGCTGCTACAAATGGGGCCTCCACCAACGAGTAACGACTGTAAAACAGTTGGTTGGGACTAAAACTACTGATTGGCCGGTGAGCTGTAGGCACCAGTGAAATCGCCTGCGAGTGTTGCAATTCACGCACCCTCACGACACAAAACCTGGTTTCCCAACCTACTGTAAATCACTTTCCCCAAGTTCTAGACACTTGGGTCCCTGGCTTTAAGTTACATTGGACAGCGCTCTAAGGAACCAGCCGGTGCAACAGTCGTGCTGGATGTTAAAAAGCGCGACCCCATGGCAACTGAGAAACGCGACACCATGGCTGGGCGTTACATCTGGGCACTTTTAGCGAGTAACGAATCCAATAACAAATTTTGAAGTGGACTCCCGATTCATTCACTAGTCGTACTGGACGCTGATAACGGGAGCTGCTGAAAAGTGGGACACGGTGGCTCGATGCTGCAGCTGCTGCCTTTCTAGCAAATGGCGATTCCAAATCAACCCTAGACAACGTTGCGTTATGTGATACCCTTAGGAATTGAGCATACAAGCAGGTAGCGGGCCCTTCGCGGGCTTTCTCCACAAAATTGAGGTCTAACGTGAAGCCTCGTAACAATTCACTATTTGATTCAACCAGGCAGACACAACCCTAAACGAACAACCTTGCCTATCAATGGCAATGGCATCAAGAAATTAGGGTTTCAGCTTCGAGGCTGGAGAGAGCAAGAGAGTGGTGGTGGTGGTGGTGACGCTGTAAGTCTGATCGCATCGCATGGGGTTGCTGCTGCCCGTAACTACAGGTGAAATGACTGGAGGTTGTTGGCGGGATGTGGAGCATCTGCCCAGACAATTTTGTCACTGCCCAACTGCCGTTGACAACTCACTCATGCCCGTGGTGACCACTGGCGGACAAGCAAACAGGTGCAAAAGCAATTGTGACTGCCGCGCAAAAATGTTACCGGAAAGCTGTCAGGAATGGGATTCGAACCCATGCCCTTTCGGACCAGTACCTGAAACTGGCGCCTTAGACCAACTCGGCCATCCTGACATGACAACATGCTACATAAATAAATACCAATCAGAATCCAGCACACATTAGTCCTGCACTTGACCATCCTGAATTCCTGCTGCAACAGCACTTAGGTCTGCCGTACATTAGCTTCTGCAAGAAGTTTATGGACAGCAGAAATCATGGAAGGGACCTCCTCATCAGAGGCTGTTCCGGATGCACGCCAACGGACACGGCCCTTGCCATCCACGAGGAATGCATACCTGCAATCAGAGGACACCAAAACAGAACAGAGCCAAGAGAGGCAACAGACGGGTTGAATAAATAAGAGAGTGGCTTAACCACCAGCAGCAGGAGTAGGCAGAAAGAGCACTTGCCCTGTGAGTCTGTTGACAATGCCCAGTCTCTTTCTGAACTCCCACGTGTCACCAAACGCGTACACCGTCGTCAACACACCATCAACGCCCTCCGAATCACCAGCAGCATCGGTCAAGCGTGCCTGCTGCTTGGCTTCAGCCCCGCGCAGGCTGCTGAGCAGCCAGGATCGAACGGGACGCACGGACAGCAGCCATGACTCCACCCAGGAGATTTGCACAGCACACACAGAGGCCGGAGGAAAGAGGTGAGGTCTGTCCGAGGCTGGAGAGGAGGAGGATGTGGTGGAAGGGACTGTGGAAGTGGAAGGGACTTTGGAAGTGGACGGGAGTGTGGAAGTGGGTGAAGTGGAGGCGGGGTGAACAGAGGGAGAACTGGGAGAAGTGTGCTGGAGGAAGGGCTTCAGCCATGACTCCACCATGCCCTGAGGAGCATGAAAAAGAGAAGAGGAGTGAAAGAATTAGGAAAGGGCCAGACTAAGAGTAATGGCAGTGGCTTGGGAGTGAGGGATGGTGGTAGCAGCATCAGTAGGGTGAAGGGGAACATGAAACAGGAAGGCAGTTGTCACTCCAGCGAAAGAGAAAGGCAGTTGCTTCACAAACAACAGGGAGGCATAAACAGATTTGCACCTGAGCGTTTGCACGGAACGCCACGCAGACTAGAACCACTCGACACGTGTCACCCTGCAGCTCGAGAGGCAGCTCCACCAGCGTGTTGGATGACGTGGTTCCCGTAATTCGCGGAAACTCCGCGGCTCCGGCGGCTGGAAGCGGCGAGGAGGTAGGCGACGGGCCCACTTTCCCGGCAGTTTCCTTGAGCTCCTTGAAATCGTCGAAGTATCCGCGGTTTAACTCGTCCTTCAGGCGCTCGATCTCCTTCTCCCGCGACTCTTTCCGGAAAACGGTGAAGATGTTGAGAGAGCGGGAGGGAACGACGGCTGGCGATGAGGAGGAGAGATCTAGACCGTGGATCGTTGCGTGGGCGAGTTTGGGATGAGATCGAGAGATTTCTGATCGGCGACGTGACTGTAAATGCGAGTGATTATGACGGGTCCTCGACACGGAAATGAACCGGGACGAAAAATGGGGATATGGTAGTGATTGTGACAGAAACGGCTGCTGCGCCGGCTGCTGCTGCGATTGCGTCTTGTGGGGAAGTGGTGAGGTCGGGAAGCCACGGCTGCAGGAAGAGGTGTGTTGTTGCACGTAGTGTGCTCGGATCGACGCTATGACCAAGCCAGGATCGCGTGGCAAGTCATGGTAAAAAGAGCGTACGAATGAAGAGGGAGACGCTGCTAAGAGCGACTGTCCTATGCGGCGAATCCCTGAACCAGACGCCATTCCGCCTGACAACTCCGAAGATCGTGCTTTGGTCTCGTGTCTGCCTTGTAGTAGGCAAGCAGAGGGCCTCACCTCCCCTTCACCCCCTCTGCGACAGAGTGCACGCAAAAACTCGACATACGTAGCTGGATACTGAAGTTGGAATCTCTTTTGACTCTGCGCTGTAGGCATCCATCATAGTTGTAATATCGAGGATACTCCCTCAATACCTGACTGGGAACCCAGATTCATCGCGCGGAGCGAACAAGCCACGTGTTGCCGACGGATGGGTTCCTCAACCATCGAGCCAATCTGGAGACACGCTTTCAATAACGCAGCCTCCGTTATGTGCACACTCGTACACAAACTGTACGAGACACGAGCACATTACGACATTCCATTCCCATCCCACCCGCTTTACCAAGGCATGAGGCATGAGGGCGTGTCACGAAAGTGGGGTATAGCAAACACCATACTCAACCGTTTTATAAAATTATTTCAACGTTCTCAAACGCAAAATATCGTATCGAACCACAATCGGATGTACTTGTGGCACGCCCTGAGGCGCATTAGGAGGAGCCACCCCCTGCTCAGATTCTAGCAGGTCATTCTGTGAAGCTCTAATCGCCCTAAAATATGAGCTTCATATTACCGAATCCGTACAGATTAGTTAGCGGCGCCATTCTAGAGGTCTTGTATTCCTGAACTAATTGCTTCCACGTCCTCTGATCTTTCTTTCGGGGGAACGGCGTGTATCACGCAGAAAATGGCAGAGCTGGTTGGACCAGGCCGCCTTATCTCTGGTGGCCTCTGCACTGCCTGGCACTCAGCCGCCAGCACATCTCCTCGTGGCGGTGTGATACACGCCGCCAGCAATCTCACCAATCTTACCAGCACATCTCCTCGTGCTTCTCACCAATCTTACCAGTGTCATCAGTCTTATAAACCTTGCCATTCTTACCAGTCTTATCAACCTTACCTGAATTTGTCCCGTCATGGCTCCCCCACTCGGCAATTGCGGACCGTCGGATTCAGCTGCTGTGGTTTCCCAAATCGACGGTTAGAGCGTGATAGCGTTAACCAATCGCGGAGGAGAGGGTTCAGCTGCCGTGCCAAGTCAGTCATCGAAGGCGACGACATCCGAGGTGTGGTTATGAGGTAACCCGGTTTCATTATTCGCAGAAACATTCCGGCATAGAGAGCTTTAGACCGGCCGCGCGACTTATCAATTTATTCTGAAATGTGCTGGCACTCAGTTTAACTCCATATTCCCGGCCATGGCTCCCATGCTGCCAGTTCATGCTAGTAGCATGAACCAGCGCTAGCCACGCAATTTCACAATTCATCCACCTTCTTTCCGTGAGAGGTACCATGGGTCAATTCACCCTTCCTCGCGCCTTCTCTCCTCCTCATCCACCTTCTCTCCCCCCTCGTCTCCCCCCTCGTCTCCCCCCTCGTCTCCCCCCTCGTCTCCCCCCTCGTCTCCCCCCTCGTCTCCCCCCTCGTCTCCCCCCTCCACTCCCCCCTCCACTCCCCCTCTCATCTTCAGAGGCGTTTCCTGACGTACCGCCGCACAAGCACAAGCACAAGCACCGCCACCAACCAGCTCAGCTAGGAGGTTCAGAGGCGCCGATAGAGACAGATTTGGCTTTTGAGTCGACTCAAAATACACCGACAGAGACAGATTCGGGGCGAGAAGAGAAGGAGGCAGGAAGAGAGACACGGACTGAGGAGGGGCAAGACTTGGTGACAAAGTCTCAGCCAGAGGGGCTCACCCTGCAGTCCCTGCTGGCTCGCTCCGCGTCTCTACCCCGGTCTATCTCCCCTGAGGTGGTGGCCATCGCCAGTGTGTACTTCGTGCAGGGCGTGCTGGGCCTTGCTCGTCTGGCCGTCACCTTTCTGCTCAAGGACGACTTCCAGCTCGATCCGGCTGAGGTGAGCACTGTTCGGGTCTGTCTCCTCTGGAGCAGTGTTCTGGTCTGTCTCCTCTAGAGCCAAGGCTACCTCCCGTGAGGTGGTGGCCATCGCCAGTGTGTACTTGGTGCAAGGCGTGCTGAGATTAGCTCGCCTGGCCGTCAACTTTCTGCTCAAGGACGACTTCCAGCTCGATCCTGCTGAGGTGAGCACTGTTCGGGTCTGTCTCCTCTAGAGTGCAGGCTATCTCCCCTGAGGTGGTGGCCATCGCCAGTGCGTACCTCGTGCAGGGCGTGCTGGGATTAGCTCGCCTCGCCGTCACCATCCTGCTCAAAGACGACTTCCAGCTTGGCTCCGCGGAGGTGAGGGTGAGGGCAGTGTGTGTAGGCTGGAACTTACTAGAGAGGGCAATGTGTGTAGGCTGGAAATTTACTCGTGTGCATGATTGTGGCTGCCTGGAGTGCTCGGCCTTCCTCCACCTGGCCGTCACCTTACTCTTGAGTCGACTTTTGAGGCGCCTCAAAACTTCCTCCACCTGGCCATCACCTTACTCTTGAGTCGAATTTTGAGGCGTCTCAAAACTTCCTCCACCTGGCCGTCACCTTACTCTTGAGTCGACTTTTGAGGCGCCTCAAAACTTCCTCCACCTGGCCGTCACCGTACTCTTGAGTCGACTTTTGAGGCGCCTCAAAACTTCCTCCACCTGGCCGTCACCGTACTCTTGAGTCGACTTTTGAGGCGCCTCAAAACTTCCTCCACCTGGCCGTCACCTTACTCTTGAGTCGACTTTTGAGGCGCCTCAAAACTTCCTCCACCTGGCCGTCACCTTACTCTTGAGTCGACTTTTGAGGCGCCTCAAAACTTCCTCCACCTGGCCGTCACCTTACTCTTGAGTTGACTTTTGAGGCGCCTCAAAACTTCCTCCACCTGGCCGTCACCTTACTCTTGAGTCGACTCAAAAGTATAACGTAGGCTAGATGGCGACAGCCAACAGATCTTACTCCGAACAACTCAAAAGTCACCTTCCTGCTCGAGCGCATGCTCTAAAGGAGGGCTTCCAGCTTGACCCCGCCGAGGCGAGCAGTGGCGTGTGCACTGGCGTGGGCACTCGTGCTGCTGTGCATATATTGGCGGACGAAGGTGCTTGTCCTTGCTCCCTTACTTACTCCCTCAACCCCCTCCTCTCTCTCTCCCCCCAGATGCCGGTGCTACCAGGCCTCTCCTCCCTTCCGGGGCTCATTAAGCCCATCCACGCCTTTAAATAGCAGCTTGCGCCCCCCCCCTTACCTTCTCCCAACTCCCAATCCCCTCTTCCCGTTTTCCCGTCCACACCCCCCCCAGGTGGCGGTGCTGTCGGGCCTCTCCTCCCTCCCCTGGCTCATCAAGCCCGTCTACGGCTTCATCAGTGACGGCATCCCGCTCTTATTCCCGTCCGCTTCCCTCCTCGTGTTCCCCTCCCTCCATACCCCCAGGTGGCAGTGCTATCAGGTCGGTCCTCGCTGCCCTGGCTCATCAAGCCCGTCTACAGCTTCATGAGTGACAGCAGACCCCTCGTGGGCTACCGCCTAAAAAACCCCCCACTTTCCCCCTCCCACTGTCCTTTTGAGGCGCCTCAAAAACCCCCCACTTTCCCCCTCCCACTGTCCTTTTGAGGCGCCTCAAAAACCCCCCACTTTCCCCCTCCCACTGTCCTTTTGAGGCGCCTCAAAAACCCCCCACTTTCCCCCTCCCACTGTCCCCGCCCTCTCTTTCCCCTCCCACCCAGGTGGCGTTGCTGTCGGGCCTCTCCTCCCTCCCCTGGCTCATCAAGCTCCTCTACGGCTTCATTCTACGAAACCCTTCCTTACCTCCCCCCCACCCACCCCCCCTCCCCCCCCCCAGGTGGCACTGCTGTCGGGCCTCTCCTCGCTCCCCTGGCTCATCAAGCCCGTCTACGGCTTCATCAGCGACGGCATCCCTCTCTTTGGCCACCGCTGCCGCTCCTACCTCATTGCCTGCGGGCTGCTGCTGGGATCTCCTTACCCCCCTCAAACTCCTCTCCTCTTTCCTTTCCCTCCTCAACTCCCCTTTCCCCTGTTCCCCACGCTCCTTCCCTCTCCCCTTTCCCCTGTCCCCCCCCCCAGGTGGCGGTGCTATCGGGCCTCTCCTCGCTCCCCTGGCTCATCAAGCCCGTCTACGGCTTCATCAGCGACGGCATCCCGCTCTTCGGCTACCGCCGCCGCTCCTACCTCATTGCCTGCGGGCTGCTGGGCTCCCTCGCGTGGGCCTCCCTGGCGTCGGTGGTGGGGGATAAGTACTCCGCTGTCGCTATGATCCTGCTCTCCTCGCTGTCTGCTGCTGTTTCCGATGTGGTGAGTGCGGTGATGAGTGGTGTAGTGTGGTCTATTAAATGGTGTTGTCGCAATGACCCTGCTGTCTTCCCTCTCGGCCGCTGATTCACCTGCCTGCTCACTGCTCCTCCTTTCTTCCCCACCCCTCCGCCCCTCCCCCCCCCCTGCTGCCGCAGGTGGTTGACGCAATGGTGGTCCAGAGGGCACCGAGAGAATCTCAGGCCACATCAGGGGCCCTCTTTTCCTTACTCTCTACCCTACTCCTCACTCAGTTTCCCCAACCACTGCTACCACACCTCCCCACACCCCACCTTGTTCCCATTCCGCAGGTGGTTGACTCAACGGTGGTCTTGAGGGCAAGAGGCGAGTCCCAGGCCACATCATCAGAGGGCCTTCTTTACCTATCCTCTACTAAAAACCCTTACTCAGTTCCCTTAACCACTGTGTCCGCACCTCCCCCCACCCCCCACCTTCTTCCCATCTCGCAGGTGGTTGACTCAACGGTGGTGCAGAGGACAAGAGGCGAGTCCCAGGCTGCATCACTTGGCTCGTTTCCTCCTCTGCCGCCTCCCTATCCTTTACTTCCAAATCCCTCCCTCCCCCGCCTCCACCCATAGGTGGTTGACTGAATGGTGGTCCAGAGGGCGAGGGGAGAGTCCCAGGCCACATCATCAGGGGCCCTCTTTTCCCTATCCTCTACTCTACCACTCACTCATTTCCCCCAACCACTGCTTCCGCCCCCCCCTTCACCCCTCACCTTCTTCCCATCTCGCAGGTGGTTGAATCAAAGGTGGTGCAGAGGGCAAGGGGGGAGTCCCAGGCCTCATCGGGGGGGCTGCAATCCCTGTGCTGGGGGTCGTCAGCTGTAGGCGCTGCTTTCTCACCGTTTGGTTTGTCCTTCCCCCCCCCCCCCCCCCCCCCAGGTGGTCGACTCAATGGTGGTGCAGAGAGCTAGAGGCGAGTCCCAGGCCACATCAGGGGGGTTGCAGTCGCTGTGTTGGGGGTCGTCAGCAGTGGGTGCTGTTCTCTCAGCGTATTTCAGTGGTTCGCTCATCGAGAACTATGGTACTAGGTGAGCGACGGCTCATGTGGGTGAGAACTATCACCTGCAATAACGCCAGCCAGCCAGCCAGCCACAGCCGTCCTGCAATGCTCTTTGTTGGGGTCATCAGTAATGGGTTTTGCGCTCTCAAATCAACCGGTTTGAATGGCTTACTAGTTGCAAATGATGGTATAGCAGGGCCCATAAGCCAGCAGGACCCGTAAGCCAGCAGGGCCCGTAAGCCAGCAGGGCCCGTAAGCCAGCAGGGCCCGTAAGCCAGCAGGCCTGCTGTTCTTCACAAATCTCCTCTTTCTCCCTTTGCCTCGTCCCCTTCCGTCTCTCCCACCTTCCCAGGTTTGTGTTCGGAGTGACAGCCCTACTGCCTCTTATCACCACTGCAGTTGGCTTCTACATCCGAGAGGACAGGGTCACTGCCAACAACAGCACAGTCACTAACGAGAATAGTTGCTCTCTCTGTGTCCCATCACCCCCCTTCCCAGGTTTGTGTTCGGAGTGACAGCCCTACTGCCGCTCATCACCACGGCAGTCGGATTCTACATTCCAGAAGACAGGGTCACTGCCAACAAGAGCACAGTCACTAACGATTCGGATTCCACAGGTGGCAAGGGGGCAGCAGCAGCAGCAGAAGGGGCAGGAGGACGGGTAGTGAGAGGTGGAGGAGCAGCAGCAGAAGGGGTGTTGATAAGAGGAGAAGCAGGGGAAGTGACAGCAGGGGGTGCAGGAGCATTGGCAGTAGGAGGGCCGAGCGGGTCATGGGCGTGGGCGTGGGGTCAGCTGGTGTTTCTGTGGGAGACAGTGCGGCAGCCCGCCATTCTGCTGCCCACCACCTTCATCTTCCTCTGGCAGGCCACCCCTCACTCCGAGACAGCAATGTTCTACTTCACGTGAGTCAATGGGGGTCAACGGGGGTCAACAGGGGTCCACAGGGATCCACAGGGGTCAACGGAGGTCAACAGGGCATGGAGCCTTTTTTACCTTCCTTTGGCAGGTCACGCCGCACTCCAAGACAGCCACGTTTTACTTCACGTGAGTCCCTGGTGTGAATCAAGGGGGGTCAACGGTGGTCAATGGGGGTCAACGGGGCATGGGTGTGGGCGTGGGCGTGGGGTCAGCTGGAATTCCTGTGGCAGACGATCAGAGAGCCAAGGGCCATTCTGCTGCTCATGGCGTTCGTCTTCCTCTGGTAGGCCACGCCGCACTCCGAGACAGCCACGTTCTACTTCACATGAGCCACCACCAACGAGCTTGGGTTTTGCCCTGAGTTCCTGGGCCGCTTCCACCTCGTGACAGCCCTCGCCGCCCTGGCTGGTGCTTTGAGGCGCCTCAAGCCCATATCCTAAATCCTAATCCCCGGCCCCCCCTCCCCCCCCCCCCCCCGCCCCACCCAACCCACCCCGCCTCCCCGCCCACTCGAAACATATTCCCTCGTGTTGTCAGCACCAACAAGCTTGGCTTCGGCCCTGAGTTTCTGGGCCACGTCCGCCTCGTGACAGCCCTCGCCTCCCTGGCTGGTGTTTGGAGCACCCAAGTCCTCCCTGATAGCCCATACTCTTCCCCACGCCCCCTCCCTCCTCCTCACCACCAACGAGCTCGGCTTTAGCCCTGAGTTCCCGGGCTGCATTTGGCTCATGACAGCCCTCGCCTCCTGGGCTGGTGGATTTAAGGCTCCCCAAACCTTAGTTGCTACAAACGCGTTTGGCGGTTAAACGCAAGCGTTTGAACGCTAAACACTCGGCAGTGTGTATGTGAACGCTAGGCAAACGCTTGCCCGGGCAGGGGTGAAAATTTTACCCAGGCAGGGGTTAAAAAATCCTGTGGGGGAGGGGGGAAACATGGGGGTTCTACCCGCAAGCATTTTGTCTCATAAAAAAGAACCGTGCTTAACATTTAAGCCAGCATCCTCATATGTCATGTCAATCACCTATCCTCCGTGTGTAATGAGTCGATTTTTGAGTCGACTCAAAAATCGACTCATTAGAACCGTGCTTAACATTTAAGCCAGCATCCTTATATGTCATGTAAATCACCTATCCTCCGTGTGTAATGAGTCGATTTTTGAGTCGATTAAAAAATCGACTCATTAGAACCGTGCTTAACATTTAAGCCAGCATCCTCATATGTCATGTAAATCACCTATCCTTAAGGCCATTCTCCAAACCACAATCTCGTGTTTTTTGGGAGGGGGGGCAGCCTGAAAAAATCCCAGTGAGCGTTTGCGTTTTTGGGTGCGTTTGGCGTTTCTCGTCTGCCAGAGCGTTTGTAGCAACTAAGCCCCAAACCGCTCCAAAACCCATCTTCTAAACCTCCCAACCCAACCCCACCCACTCCCCCTCTCTCACCCCACCGCCCCTCCCTCCCCTCCAGCACCAACGAGCTTGGGTTTGGCCCTGAGTTTCTAGGCCGTGTCCGCCTCGTGACAGCCCTCGCATCCCTGGCTGGTGTTGGTCTGTTCAACTTCTATCTCAAGGAAGTGCCTCTGAGGAAGCTGTTCCTGTGGACCAACGTCGTGGGGGCCATCCTTGGCTCCACACAGGTAAGACAGAGAAGGATTCTCCAAGGTGCATCTCAGATAGCCCTTGCGTCTCTGGCGGGAGTGGGTGTGTTCAACTTTTATCTCAAGAAAGTGCCTCTGAGGAAGCTGTTCCTGTGGACCAACGTCGTTGGGGCCATTCTCGGCTCCACACAGGTACGTCCTTCCAGGAAGTCGCTTTGGGCTGCGGATAAAGAGACGACTTTTGAGGCGCCTCAAAAGCCTTCCAGGAAATCCCTTTGGGCTGTTTGATGCGAATGCCTCTAGCCGCCCTCGCCTCCCTGGCGGGGGTGGGTGGGTCTGCCCAACTTCTATTTCGAGGAGGTGCCTCTCAGGAAGCTGCTCCTGTGGACCAACGTCGCTGCGGAAGCCCAGCCACCATCTCCATTTCCTCATTATTTTCCAAGCTCTCATTTTCAATCCCGAATCCCAGCATGGAGCCAACTCGCCCCGACCCTCCTATCTTCAGGACCTCCGGGCCTCCTGACCCCCGAGACCTGAAGCCAGGCCATCCCCTATACAATCCAGAGCCCTTTCCGACCTGGGGATCACCACTCCCCATCATCCCACCAAGATTCGAGGATTCACCCGAGGACATCCGACACGACTTCAACGCCCTCCAGTTGAAGGATTCGCCACCAATCGACCCTCCTGAGCTCAACCTCGAATCCACCATCAAGACCAATCCGCCCCCAATAATGGAGGTATCTGAGGCACGAGGAGACTACATCGACCTTCCCCATGATCACAAATTCGAGCCAGGAGAAGTCCTGCTCGATACCAACGGGCGACTGGCACGAGGCTACCGAAAATGGGTCCGAGGGATGTATGACAGCTGGTCATACATAACCATCGATCTCGTCCACGACCCATTCGACGGGAGTGCGAATGCTTAAGCGCGGGGAGTTACAACTGTAACGCGGATGTACCAGCCGCGACGGTTCGGCTTTCCCCGGAGGTTACTTGCGGTTTGCAACCGCTGGCAAGATGACGAGGAGAGGAATCGACAAGAAACATCGGGCGCATACAGGCTGGCTGTATGCGAGATCAACCGTTTGAGTTCGGGTGATTGAAGTTTGCGGACGGTTTTATAACCGTACGCAACCGACCGGCAGCTCGGATGACTGACGGTTTTATGCGGTTGACAAGCCGCGTAGCGATCCGAGTCCAAAATAAGGAGTTACCTTCTCATGGACCGTCAACTAGCTTGTATCGTCAACTTCATTATCTAGCATCGATCTCTTGTATCATCCATTGATATACAAAGGTTCTTGAGTCACTCCCTTGCAACCAACAGTCCAACACTTGGCATCCCTCAGACGGGCGGTGAGGCCTGTTCCCAACTGACCCCTGGCAGTGAGTGGTCAGTGTGGGATCCCCTGGGCTCAATAGGCCTGAGACCGAGGCGTGTATCCGGTTGGCGAAGCCGGTTGGGAGCTCGAGGCGTTTGGTCAAGATCCCCTTTGTGTACGGGAAGGATATAGGAACGAGTCGATCGAGGGCCGACATTGACAGAGAGACAAGCGGAGGAAGTGCAAGGAATACAGAAAAAATATCTATTTCGGGTTACAACTGTAACGCGGATGTACCAGCCGCGACGGTTCGGCTTTCCCCGGAGGTTACTTGCGGTTTGCAACCGCTGGCAAGATGACGAGGAGAGGAATCGACAAGAAACATCAGGCGCATACAGGCTGGCTGTATGCGAGATTAACCGTTTGAGTTCGGGTGATTGAAGGTTGCGGACAGTTTTATAACCGTACGCAACCGACCGGCAGCTCGGATGATTGACGGTTTTATGCGGTTGCCAAGCCGCGTAGCGATCCGAGTCCAAAATAAGGAGTTACCGTCTCATGGACCGGAGTATAAATATAGAGATCCTAGCTTGTATCGTCAACTTCATTATCTAGCATCGATCTCTTGTATCATCCATTGATATACAAAGGTTCTTGAGTCACTCCCTTGCAACCAACGGTCCAACACTTGGCATCCCTCAGACGGGCGGTGAGGCCTGTTCCCAACCGACCCCTGGCAGTGAGTGGTCAGTGTGGGATCCCCTGGGCTCAATAGGCCTGAGACCGAAGCGTGTATCCGGTTGGCGAAGCCGGTTGGGAGCTCGAGGCGTTTGGTCAAGATCCCCTTTGTGTACGGGAATGATATAGGAACGAGTCGATCGAGGGCCGACATTGACAGAGAGACAAGCGGAGGAAGTGCAAGGAATACAGAAAAAATATCTATTTCGGGTTACAAATGTAACGCGGATGTACCAGCCGCGACGGTTCGGCTTTCCCCGGAGGTTACTTGCGGTTTGCAACCGCTGGCAAGATGACGAGGAGAGGAATCGACAAGAAACATCAGGCGCATACAGGCTGGCTGTATGCGAGATTAACCGTTTGAGTTCGGGTGATTGAAGGTTGCGGACAGTTTTATAACCGTACGCAACCGACCGGCAGCTCGGATGATTGACGGTTTTATGCGGTTGCCAAGCCGCGTAGCGATCCGAGTCCAAAATAAGGAGTTACCGTCTCATGGACCGGAGTATAAATATAGAGATCCTAGCTTGTATCGTCAACTTCATTATCTAGCATCGATCTCTTGTATCATCCATTGATATACAAAGGTTCTTGAGTCACTCCCTTGCAACCAACGGTCCAACACTTGGCATCCCTCAGACGGGCGGTGAGGCCTGTTCCCAACTGACCCCTGGCAGTGAGTGGTCAGTGTGGGATCCCCTGGGCTCAATAGGCCTGAGACCGAAGCGTGTATCCGGTTGGCGAAGCCGGTTGGGAGCTCGAGGCGTTTGGTCAAGATCCCCTTTGTGTACGGGAATGATATAGGAACGAGTCGATCGAGGGCCGACATTGACAGAGAGACAAGCGGAGGAAGTGCAAGGAATACAGAAAAAATATCTATTTCGGGTTACAAATGTAACGCGGATGTACCAGCCGCGACGGTTCGGCTTTCCCCGGAGGTTACTTGCGGTTTGCAACCGCTGGCAAGATGACGAGGAGAGGAATCGACAAGAAACATCAGGCGCATACAGGCTGGCTGTATGCGAGATTAACCGTTTGAGTTCGGGTGATTGAAGGTTGCGGACAGTTTTATAACCGTACGCAACCGACCGGCAGCTCGGATGACTGACGGTTTTATGCGGTTGCCAAGCCGCGTAGCGATCCGAGTCCAAAATAAGGAGTTACCGTCTCATGGACCGGAGTATAAATATAGAGATCCTAGCTTGTATCGTCAACTTCATTATCTAGCATCGATCTCTTGTATCATCCATTGATATACAAAGGTTCTTGAGTCACTCCCTTGCAACCAACGGTCCAACACTTGGCATCCCTCAGACGGGCGGTGAGGCCTGTTCCCAACCGACCCCTGGCAGTGAGTGGTCAGTGTGGGATCCCCTGGGCTCAATAGGCCTGAGACCGAAGCGTGTATCCGGTTGGCGAAGCCGGTTGGGAGCTCGAGGCGTTTGGTCAAGATCCCCTTTGTGTACGGGAATGATATAGGAACGAGTCGATCGAGGGCCGACATTGACAGAGAGACAAGCGGAGGAAGTGCAAGGAATACAGAAAAAATATCTATTTCGGGTTACAAATGTAACGCGGATGTACCAGCCGCGACGGTTCGGCTTTCCCCGGAGGTTACTTGCGGTTTGCAACCGCTGGCAAGATGACGAGGAGAGGAATCGACAAGAAACATCAGGCGCATACAGGCTGGCTGTATGCGAGATTAACCGTTTGAGTTCGGGTGATTGAAGGTTGCGGACAGTTTTATAACCGTACGCAACCGACCGGCAGCTCGGATGACTGACGGTTTTATGCGGTTGCCAAGCCGCGTAGCGATCTGAGTCCAAAATAAGGAGTTACCGTCTCATGGACCGGAGTATAAATATAGAGATCCTAGCTTGTATCGTCAACTTCATTATCTAGCATCGATCTCTTGTATCATCCATTGATATACAAAGGTTCTTGAGTCACTCCCTTGCAACCAACGGTCCAACACTTGGCATCCCTCAGACGGGCGGTGAGGCCTGTTCCCAACCGACCCCTGGCAGTGAGTGGTCAGTGTGGGATCCCCTGGGCTCAATAGGCCTGAGACCGAGGCGTGTATCCGGTTGGCGAAGCCGGTTGGGAGCTCGAGGCGTTTGGTCAAGATCCCCTTTGTGTACGGGAATGATATAGGAACGAGTCGATCGAGGGCCGACATTGACAGAGAGACAAGCGGAGGAAGTGCAAGGAATACAGAAAAAATATCTATTTCGGGTTACAAATGTAACGCGGATGTACCAGCCGCGACGGTTCGGCTTTCCCCGGAGGTTACTTGCGGTTTGCAACCGCTGGCAAGATGACGAGGAGAGGAATCGACAAGAAACATCAGGCGCATACAGGCTGGCTGTATGCGAGATTAACCGTTTGAGTTCGGGTGATTGAAGGTTGCGGACAGTTTTATAACCGTACGCAACCGACCGGCAGCTCGGATGACTGACGGTTTTATGCGGTTGCCAAGCCGCGTAGCGATCCGAGTCCAAAATAAGGAGTTACCGTCTCATGGACCGGAGTATAAATATAGAGATCCTAGCTTGTATCGTCAACTTCATTATCTAGCATCGATCTCTTGTATCATCCATTGATATACAAAGGTTCTTGAGTCACTCCCTTGCAACCAACGGTCCAACACTTGGCATCCCTCAGACGGGCGGTGAGGCCTGTTCCCAACCGACCCCTGGCAGTGAGTGGTCAGTGTGGGATCCCCTGGGCTCAATAGGCCTGAGACCGAAGCGTGTATCCGGTTGGCGAAGCCGGTTGGGAGCTCGAGGCGTTTGGTCAAGATCCCCTTTGTGTACGGGAATGATATAGGAACGAGTCGATCGAGGGCCGACATTGACAGAGAGACAAGCGGAGGAAGTGCAAGGAATACAGAAAAAATATCTATTTCGGGTTACAAATGTAACGCGGATGTACCAGCCGCGACGGTTCGGCTTTCCCCGGAGGTTACTTGCG